GATGATGATGTCCTTAAAGTCCAAACTCCCATAAGAAAAACAATGCTGAGAAATCTCTGGCTCGTAAACATGGATGAATCTAAGATTTTTGCTATAATTTAGCATAATGATAATGTAACTGATCAGAAATTTTCTGGAAGGGGGCTATGTTTCATGTTCTAAATAGCTGGTTGATCAAATTTACCTGATTTATAGAACTGTAGTGCATTACAGTTCAGGAATAAAGGAAATATAGTAAAGTGTGATATTTTTTAAGCAGGTAATAAATTTACTCAAAAATGGCTTTTCAGCATTATGTATCATTTTATAGTTAATTAAGGCATCTAATCATTATGACTTCAATTACAAATATCTAATTCATACAAAATTATTTGGAATATTAAATTAGAAAATGTATGTTACTTTTGTTACATGTTGATAATTTATCATTGAATCGGTATTTTACAACCCTACTAGTATATGGGATTGTTTATTTTTGTTGCAAAGTAAAAGAATAGCTTTTTGGCTTCCAAATGGTCAAATAAATCATGAAACTGTTAATTTGCCCAGCAATTTATATCTATACTTGATACTGTATAAGAACTCTATAGATGTGTTTATCAATTTTAGGTAAATAATAGTGAACTTGATGGATATTAATGGTGGTGTCTTTGAAGTAATGACCCCAATTTGCTCACACCTTTCTGTATCCATGCCATTTGTTAGTGTCCTCCAGACTTTGGACTTGGTCATCTGATTTGCTTTGGTCAACGGGACAGCAGGAAGCACATATAAGGCAGCAAAGACTTGAAAAGCACTTGCACATCAGTGCTTACGCTCTTGCTGTGTTTGACATTGCTGCCACTATGTAAATAAGCTCTAGCTAGCCTCTGAGTGATGAGACACATGAGACACATGGCTCAGTCATTCCCATTATTTCAGCACATAGGAGCCAAACTCCAGACCAGAGTGAAGCCTTCCTAGATCATGCAGTTTCCAGCTTAACAATCCCAGCCAAGATCAGCAGAACCTTGCCAGATCAGCAGAACTACCCATCTGACCCATAGACTTTCCAGCAGTAATCTTTTAAGCCACTAGGTTATGGATCGGCTTGTTACACAGCAATCCTATATAATAAAAGGCTATGCAAATAGACCAAACAGCGGAATGACGAGTCACTATGACATGCACTGACCACCAGGGGGCACATGCTCAACACAGGAGCTGCCCCCTGGTGGTCAGTGCTCTCCCACACAGGGAGCGCTGCTCAGCCAGATGCCCTGAGCCGGGCTCATGGCTGGCGAGTGCAGCGGCGGTGGTGGGAACCTCTCCACCAGTGGGAACTTCTCTGAAGAAGTGCTAAGGATGTCCGACTGATAGCCATCAGTCCGTTATCCCCTGAGGGCTCCCAGGCTGCGAGAGGGTGCAGGCCAGGCTGTACACGAATGTCATGCACCGGGCCTCTAGTAAACAAATGATACACTGTATATAGGAAATAGACTGCAGAACAAAAACATCTTTCCAAAGAACATTAACATTTCCTTTGAGAGTAACTAGATTTCCAGTGTAGGAGACAATCTTGAATATGACCCTCTTCTATCCTTAGATTTGTGGATAGCTGGCCTAGAAATTCTAGAGATATTATACTCATTAATTTTGTTCATTAACATTTCTATTCCCCTTTCTTTTAGGGAACATGGTAACATTACACTTTCCCATCTGCAGTTGATTACAAAAGTGGCCACAGATTACTTTTTACCCTCTATCCACACCCTTTTGCAATGTGACTTGCAGCTCTTCTTGTTAAAAGGTACTTACCTTCATTGACTCTGGGCTTGGCCATATGATTGCTTTAGCCATTTGGACTGGAGCAAATGTGACCCAAGCCAAAGCTTTAAAAGTGCCTGTGCATTCGGGCTTGCTCTTTTACTGACCTTGAAATCCATGTGAACAAGCCAAGGCTAGCCTCTTGATGATAAGGGACTATTGGCCTGCTTGGTCTGTTGTCCCAGATGACAGTCAACTCACCCTCAGAAACAGAGTTGCCTCTCTAACGGGAAGCTAATCACAAACATCTGAGTGAGCACAGCCCAGGTAAGTTGAACTATCCAGCTGAGACCAAACAAATTGTCCCTCCATGGAATTATAAGCTAAATCAATTGTTGATGTTTTAAGCTATTAAGTTTGGGGGTAGTTGGTTACACCTGCAAGCTATCCTATATAATAAAGAGCTAATATGCTAATTAGACCGAACAGCAGAACAACCATCCGGACAACCTTCCAGATGAAGCTGGGGCTGTGAGGGCCGAGGCAGCCAGGGATGTGAGGACCAAGCCCCTTAAACAAATTTCATGCATTGGGCCTCTAGTCTATATATATATATGCCAAGGGACCAGAACGACCAGAATGACCAGTTGCCATGACACGTACTGTGGCAGCCAACCAGCCCTATCGTGGCCCTGATCACAGCCCCCCCAAACCTCCCTCGGCCCCTCCCCCTGGCCGGCCCTGCCCCCAATCATCTTCCCCCAAACCCCGATCAGGGTGGGGGTGGCCAACCTCCCACATCTCCTCCCTGCCACCAGCCCGGCCTGATCAGCCCCTATTGGGGCGGGCCGGCCAGACCCCACCTGTACATGAATTCGTGCACCGGGCCTCTAGTCTGATATATTACTGTCTTAAAGTTAGGCATGACCATATGATTTGCTTTACCTAGTGAAATATGACACTTCTGGCAGAAGCCTTTAAGAGCTGGACAGTGATTTAACATCTTTTTCTTGTCATGGTGACTGGGGAGGTTCCAGGTAGTGGTGCTCCATAAACCTGGGTCCCTGAATGGACATGGAACAGTTCTCCCCACCCTCCTTCACACTGATTTTTGGAGGACATAGACTTTAAGTAAGAACTAAATCTTTGTATTAAGCTACTGAGGTTTTGAGTCTCCGTTACTAGAGAATAATCTAGCCCATTCTGACTATGTAGAAATTGGTACCCAGAAGGAGGTAGAGTTATGACAATAAACCTAAAATATGTGGCTGTGACTTAGAGGCTCAATGGGTGGTGGCAAGGAAACTGTTAGAGGCTGGAAAGTTAGTAGTCCATGTTAGCTGTGGTAAAATATGTGAGTCTCTCATTCTTTACCTTTACCGTGGTTATTCTGACTCTGTCCCACCACTGTACATTGAGTGTGTGTGTGTGTGTGTGTGTGTGTGTGTGTGTGTGTAAGCAGAGAGGGGTGATTCTTTGTCTTTTGAGGTCTCTATAACAATAGAAGCTTATTCCTGTTCTAATATAGGGACCATCAGCCATCACCCAGAAATGCTAGACTGAGATAAATGCCATTACTGGATAGAACTTTTGGATTGTCTCACTTGTGACGGGTGAATATATTTTGTAGTGTAAAGAGAGTGAACTGTAAATTGGTGACTAGAAAGATGGATTGCAGTAATCATTGGTGTGGGAAGCCACCTATTGTCTTCACTAGCAGAGAGGTGTGGACAAGGAACCCGGAAGGCTGGTGACCCTTGAAGCCCTGGCAAAGGTCAGGGCTATGCACCGACTGTTTTAGTCCAGACCAGTGGTCGGCAAACTGCAGCTTGCGAGCCACATGCGGCTCTTTGGCCCCTTGAGTGTGGCTCTTCCACAAAATACCGACTTCTGCGCATGGGCTACGAAGTTTCAATTGCACTGTATGTGCACACCCACACGTGGTATTTTGTGGAAGAGCCACACTCAAGGGGCCAAAGAGCCGCATGTGGCTCGGGAGCCGTGGTTTGCTGACCACGGAACTAGACCATCCTAACTAATGTCAATTACTGTAAAAGTGATCAGAAAGCTACAAATGCTGATCATTGGCAATTATAAGTGGGATCAGTAATTGAAACTATCCACTGATAATTCCTAAAGCACCTTCACAAGTGATTTTACTTACTTCTCCAATTGTGACCATTCTAGAAAGGTGATTATGAGATTTTAAACTTCATTTTCTTAATCTGTGAAAATGTAAAACCATATCTTCACTGTCGAGAGGTAGTGATGAGCAATGAAATACTTCCTTGTAGGAAAAAAAAAAGCAAGGAAAGGTGGATAAGGATAAACTACAAAACAGGGAGGGTAGAACTGAACTCAGAAATCAGGAGTTTCCAGGAAGAATTAAAACATATTGCCCACATACTTGTGCATACATTTGCAGTAATACACAGAACTTCTTAGTAAATTTTGGGTTCGGCCCCCTGCACATATACAGAAACACATGCACAATTGCTGTGGTGCAAAAGTCAAAAGTGTCACTGAAGTTTATTTTAAATGAAAAGCTCATTCTGAAGAAGAAAAAATATTTTCTCTAGCATGGTGTAGAATTCATTCCATAACATTTGTAAAGTGCTAAATACCATGCCACTCACTGTACTAGGGTCAGGCAAGTGAAAGATGTCACCGTACAGAAGTCTCAATGGGTCGCTGTCCTCCAGGAGTTCACATTTTGCAGAGGATAAAGAGTTTCCTCTTTGGGGGGTTTTCATCCAGTCACACCCAATGCCATCCGTAAATAATTTTCGGTGAAAAGCCCCGCATCTTTCCCTAAGCCTTACACATATTCACACTTTCCGGAATCTCTTCGCCCTGGAAACTGATGTTAGGGCGGGATCGCTCTGGATATTTCGCAGTTATTTGGGATGCGGCCCCATGACCAGTTTGCTTTTTCCCTGCAGTGGCGGGATGACAGTGACCCCCCTCCCCCCTCTTCCCCCTCCAAATTTCCAGCACTTAAAGCACAAAGTGCAGCTTGAACCATCAAGAAGCGGTCAACCTTGCGGTTTGCACCGCCCTTCAATAGCAGAACCTAAAGAAGTTGAGGCGGCTCGGTCAGACCGGGCAACGCGAGTAGAGCAGTGCTGGGCGCAGGGCGTTGGAGGCCAAGTCCACCAGAGGCGCAGCGCAAAGGAGTCCAAGGCCGGTCTAGAAGCCCAAGTGTGCAAGAAGGACTGAAGAGTGTCCGTCCCTGCTGGACTACAAGGACCAGCATGCATGGCGCCGCGGGGTCCAGCTCCGCTCTGGGACTCCGGCGCAACGGAGCCTGGGAAGTGAAGTCTCCGCGCAGCCCGAGTCGCTTCGGGAAGGCTGAAGGGAGGAGTAGTTAGTCCGCTCCATCGCACGCGGGTTCCCGGCCGGGCTCGGAGCCTCTCGCTGTCGCTCAGGGATTTCGCGGGCGGCGGGAGCAGGATGGCTCGCTGGAGTAAACTCCGGGGGGAGGAGGCGGCGGCGCGGGGATGGGGAGGCGGGGTCAGCGGAAGCGGCAGGTTGCTTCCTTCTCCTCGCGCTCCCTCCCCGCCTCTCCCGGAGGGAGCGGTGGGAGGGGGAGGGCCGGGCCGAGGGAAGGTAGTGACACGTGTCAATCAACTCGCCTCCGTGGGGCGCGCGCTGCGGGGCTCGCGCCGAGGGCTCGCGCCCCTGCCTCGTGCCTGCGCGCTCATATGTAAATGAAGGCGCGTGACGCGGGACGCAGATGGACAGGGAAGAAGAAAAATGGCC